CTGATTGAAGGCATGTTTGTGAAAATGATTCAAAAGGAGAATTACCCGTGACATAGAGATGAGCGTAGCAAGTGGCCTTTCCTATTTTGTTGGAGATGACGCTCTTGTAGACCCCACCGTGCGCGTGGCACACTGAGCGGATGACCAGACTGTGGACATCGCGAACTGAAAGGAATTGACAAGGCAAAGCGAGGATGAGAGGGTATGACGCTGACATTGGGCCGAATACGTCGCGGGTTTTTGGGGCGAAACGCTTACACTGTGTCATCTTTCTGTCCTCCGTGCTTTCGATTCTTTTGCCGTTGTGGAACCAGGCGATGGTGGGATACGGCAATCCGGCCACTTTACATTTGAGAACAGCCTCCTTCCCCTCAATGACGTCCAGATCATAAAGGGGCTTGATGAAGTCGGGCATTGTGAAACGCTCAACTTCATTCTCAGGGACCTCGGGCTCCTCCGGTATGGATGGCATCTTCTCCAGTTTCGCCCTGCGTGAAGACGAAATGTCATACCCAAGTCCTGAATGGAAGCTGACGCCACAACATCCAAGAAATGTTTTGATGCGTGATCGTACATCTGCGAGGAGATGGCCGGCCGTGGCTCTTGAATGTAGAGCTCAGCAGAACATTCGGCCTCTCCGTGACTGTTCGTGGCCGTCACAGTGTAGAAACCCTCATCGTCATTGGTCACGTGAGAGATGATGAGGGAGTGACGGCCGTTCTCCTGAAGAATACGCACATCCTCGCTCTCGGCGAGCGGGTGATCTGCTGAGAAAGGGCGTTTTGTTCTACCACTGATTGCCAAACACTGTACGGCATTGCTGTGCCGCGACCGATCATCGGGGCTCTAGCCACAGCATGCCAGTGATGTGTGGTCCAGATTTAACAATCACAAAGTCGATTTGTGAGCAAACTGAGAAAATCTTTCTCTCTGGATAGATACAAAAATACTTTTTGCGCCATCGGTGATGGACGATTTTTCGAATAGCCTGTAAAATATGTGCCTCGGTT